GAACATTTCAAACAGGTGAGAGATCATGGAAATACAATTTACAGGCTTGAAAGAAATATAGGTATGAAAAAAATCTGGGGGTGAGTTTTAACTAGGGACTTCCTAAACCAAAGGGAATATCACCAGTTTTCAGTTTCAACCCAGGGCATTTTTTGCTTCTGATGTAAATCAATAACACCTAAGCTATTAAAACAGTGGCACAAACATGTCAGCAGCAGTGTGAGTGAAATATTTTATGGTTAATTCTACAGATGCTGATTTACTGCCCACCAAGTTGCACTGAACTTACTTTCCTGACTGTTGCCTACCAATCTTGTACATTCTGTACTTTATCCAAGGAACATACCTTGCACCAACTTAAAAAAAGGAACCAGCAGCATCATGCAATGAACATATCCCCATTGTTACCTTACGCGATATTACTTCCCTAAACTTCTAAGGCATCTCCTGCCCAGTTCCTTCTGCCCTATATCTTCCTGAGGCCGCTCTTCTTTGAGTACTGAGGCTGAGAAACCATGGACACTTAGGCATTACATACTTTTCCAACCCTTACTATTTTTTACCTTCTTGGTTTTAGCATTGCTGGTGATGCCTACTGTACCTCTGAGTGAACCCTGTGAACTCTACCATATTTCATTTCTCTTCTCATGTTTCCTATCTTTTTTTTTTTTTTTTTTTGGTCAGTTGTGAGGCTTGAACCCAAGGCCTGGGCACTGTCCTTGAGCTTTTGCGCTCAAGGCTAGCACTCTTTGAACAATGCCCCCCCCCTCCCCTTTTTTTTATTTTTCTGGTGGTTAGCTGTTGGTAAGAGTCTCACAGACTTTCCTACCCATGCTGACTTTGAACCGCTATTCTCAGATCTCAGCTTCCCGAGTAGCCAGGATTTCAGGCACCGGGCATGTTTCCTACCTTTATGAATAACCCAATATAACCTAGCAAAAAACATAATACAGCATTTCTCTCTGTATGCAGTCCTTACATTCTAGCAAGTACTAGATATCATCCTAATGTGGGATATCACATTAGGATGTACTGAGATATCATCCTAATGTGATTTCTTTTCACTAACACTGCCTTCAAGTGGTGACCCCACTGTTGTAGGGTCAGATTACTGTAGGGTCAGCTTTTGTAATCAGATTACTGAAAACCTAAGGTCTAGGCCTCCCAGTATCTTCCCTGATCCCATCTTTTCCCTCTTCAGTTTAAGTCTTGTACTCCTACCAAGTATTCCTTCTAAACGTTTTTTCACTGACACTCTCCTAAGATGCCCCTTCTGCCTTCAGGACAAAACCTAAATGACTCTGTAGAAAACTAGCCCAATGCGGCCCTGACTCGTGGTTTTTCTTTCCTGGTTGTGTCTGCAAGGCTTTATGCCTCATTCACACTCTGCTCTTCTGGGTGTCTGGGAAAAAGAGAGGCGCCTGCCTGCCTCTGCACAGTGATGGCCTCTTTCACATTCTTACTGATATAACTCAGACAGCTCCATAGCCTTAATCAACACTGCAAAGATTCCTCTTCCTTGGCACCCTCTCTTTTCCATTTCTTTCTTCCTTCTACATTGATCCAAGCACTCTGTAGTGCCACAGCCACCAGTAAAAACCAAGGCAGCAATGACCTTATAAAATACATACTGGCATTTGGGCCAACATGGATAATTACTGGACAGGTCATATGTGGGGTACAAATGCTGGTATGAATTGTTTATAGCATTCCTCCTTATTCATGAACACAATTACGATTATATTTGTTTTTCTATAGCAATTAACGTTTTTGCATTTCTAGGAAGCATTCCTGAGGAGAAAAAAAATGCTAAAGTGAACCTAAAACACAAAATAGTGTGACCATAAAGACACACTGAGCACGGATGGATTACACCTATAATCCTAGCTAGTCAAGAGACTGAGATCTAAGGATTGAGGTTTGAAGCTAGCCCAGGTAGAAAAGCCCATTAGATTCTTATTTCTAATTGTGTATCCAAAAGCTGCAAGTGGAAGCATGGATCAAGTGTCAAGACTACCAGCTTTGAGCAAAAACGTTAAGGGACAATGCCTAGGCCTTGACTTCAAACCCAGGGCCAGCACAAAAATGCTGGGCTGGAGGCATGGCTCAAGCATCAGCCAAATAGCTAGTTCCAGGCCCTGAGTTCAAACCCTGCTACTGGCAAAAGAAAAAAAAGTAAAAGGGGACAGGCAGGGAAGGGAGGGAAGAAAGCAGGCTGCCAATGACTATGGTAACACACACTGGTAGAAGCATACTCTTTTTGATGTTGGGCAAATTAACCTTACCGAGCTACACCTAACCCAAAGTACATCTGTTAATCTAAAAGAATTTTTTAAAAACCATGACATAATATAAAGACATCACTTTCACTAAAATAGTTTCTCCCTTCCTCCATACATGGCAATGCTGAAACTATTACCATTGCACTTATTACATGTCAGATATAGAATCTTTTCTCCAGCTTCAAAATTTGAAACAATTTGGTCCTAACCTATAGTTTATTCCCAAACAAAAATTTAGGAAGCAGGGCAGGAGAAAAAAAGTAGAAAAGGCCTAAGACATGTCAAACAAAAGAAGTAAAACATGTTCTTTAATGCAAAAGAAAAGCATCTGGCTAGTGTGACAATCTGCTTTTGTATAATTTTTCTCAACAATCATTAATTAAAGCATCTTGTAAGTCTTCTAGGCTTACGCGTGTGCTGGCTCCCTCCAGAAAGCTCTCCTTCCATCATGCAGGGGTCCTGCCTATGAAGACGCATGGCCTTTCACTTGTGTATCTAACACTAGGCACACACATCGTTTAGCATAATTGTTATCTTATCTTCTTCATAGACTATAGACTCTCTGAGGTAAAAATCTATGCTGAACTGATTTGTACATCCCATAATATTGACCAGAGTATCTTGTACACAACCCAGTAGGTAGATATTTGTAAATTATACTAAGATATCCTTACTATAAAACAATCTGGTAAGTAATACATATATGTAAATACAGGAGACCATATAAAAAAGTTGGAAAGACATAAGAAGCGTGCTGTTCAAGCTTCTGACTGAATTAATCATTTTCTCTATATTATTTTCTCCTTGGTCAGCCATATACCTATCTATTTTAAGTTATTAAATAATATCTGCAGATGGCACAAAATATGAAAGCTACAAATACCTAATTGGAAAATAGGTCTTCCTTCCACCTTGTGTCCAGCCACCCAGATTATCTACCCAAAGGCAAGCCATAATACCCACTGCATAATCACAGAGATAATGCACACAAACATATATATATGAACATGGTCTTACTGTCTTTTAGCACAATGCTTCAAACTTCCCATCTTGCTTTGCTCACTGGTATTAGTTCAGAGTGGGCCGCCTCATTGTATTTAATGGATACTGAGATTCTACTGCGTGGCTCCAATACCATTTACCTGAGCAGACTTCTTACTAAACATTCATTTAAGGTAATATAATGTTGCAGTGAACATATTTATTTATGGATCATGATATGTTTATAAACAAATGCCTGGAAGTGGAACTGCTGAGTACAAAAATATGTGCCTTTTTATCAAGATACTGATAAGATATTGACAGAGACTTCTGGATACTTCCTTAATTTAACTTCTATCTCCCTAGGTAAACTACAACCTCCTTGGGGATGCTTCCCTTACTTAATTTCTGTGATACTGCCATACATATATTTCTTCAGAACCTTAGGAAAAACCTTTGAAAATGTTATTAATCTTACCCCAAAATTTAAGTTCTTCATAACTTCACTGTATTGGTTAATTTTCTCAGATTTCAAGCAAATCTCATGTCTCTTTATTTCCTATCCATATCCAATTAACTAGCTGTTAATATGTGCCAATCCTACAGTTCTAAGACATTCATCTTTTTCCTATTTTTTTTCAGATATCTGACTTGTAAGCACCACATTTTACATGTCTGGGTTATTATTATTCTACAGCTCTATCTATCTGTAATGGGACATATCATCCTCTCTGCTGGAAGCATCTCAAATCAAACCTGCTGACATTTCAAAAAGTCTACCTTAAATGCTAGATCATTCACAATTTGCTCCCTTTCATGAATTCAACAGTCCTTAGGTTTTAGACATTCTGATTTATAATGTACTCCTAAGACAAAACTATACATTCCTTCATGGCAAGGGTAATGTCTTAAAACATTTAGATAAACTCACACTGCCTAGGTATTCAAAATGTATTTACTGAATGAAGTCTTCAAATAAAGTAATTCCTGTACAAGCATACAAATCTACAGGAAAAAGTGTCCACAAACAATATTTATTTTGGCAAATGACAATATCCATGAGATACATACAGACCTCAATATAATAACTAAATTTATTTCAGAAAGCTCACAATATAAAATATTTCCAGTTAATTATTAGTATAAATTATATTTGCTTTTACATTAATTTTGTTCAAAAATAGGGAAGAAGAAGAAGTTTGTTCAAAAATCAGGAAGAGAAAGTGCTACTAGTGACTGAATTTCTATTCAAAACTGTAAGATCTCTTAAATCTCTTAAGTCTAATCACGATGCTTTAACTACTACACAGAAGAAAAAGTTTCATCACAATTTACCTATGAAATACTGCTCTCCTTAGTTTAAAATAGGTAAAATAACTTACTAACATGGAAACAAGTTTTACAGGAAACCTACTTGATGAAAAACTTTATAAAACATAATAAATCTTACATTTCTGGTTTTCAAAATTTAATAACAATTTCAAAAATCATACTGTGGGAAGACTTTTAAAATGCTTAAATATAGGAAAAGTGTAATTATCTTTTCCAATCTATAAATGTACTTATAAAAAGCACTCATAATACTTCATTAGAAATTATTAAGGTCTCATCTACACAATAGTAGAGAGAGTTACACAAATCTCTATCGGGTAGTGAATTAGTACAACTTGTATTTTAAGTAATGTTTGAAATAATGAGAAGTTACTAGGATGAAACGCCGGATTGCTTTTGACTCACCTCTCCCCCATTAACATATTCCATCACAAAACACAAACGGTCTTTTGTCTGGAAGGAATATTTCAAGGACTTGAAATGAAAAATAAAAAAAAGTTATAATCCTATATTCTTACCATTATAATAGTATGAAAAGAGAACATTTAAAAACTGTAAGCATAACCGATGAGACAACACTGATGAGAAACCAGAAAGGAACATCGGGAGTTAAGGAACATGAAGTTCCTTCACAGTCCACTTACTGTGGGCTTACAGAAGAGTTTATAAGAAACATAAAGCAAATTTTGTATCGTCAGGGGGAAAACTAAGACTGTAAGTAAAATTAAACTGCTCAATCCATTACCCCATCTCTCTGAAACTGTTGGTAATCAAAGTTCTCATCCATGCAAATTACTCCAGTGCAAGTTCCACAGGAATACAGTTCCTGTTGACATGTTGGAGTTTCTAACAATGTAACAACAGATAATCAACATGTAATAAAGTAACACAGGAAATCCAGGTATCTAAGGATACCCTTGAAAGTTTCCATTTCAAGTATTTCTAAATTTTTAGTAAAAGATTTCTGGAAGTCTGTCTGTTAATCATAATCTGAATGTACTTCACTGGAGTCAGGAACATAGATAGAGGAACTTTACAATTGTCCTTGTATCATATTTATATGCATTAAGACACAGTTTATACTTTGTCAAGGGAAGAAACAGTATGGCGACTTATCAACATTGAACATCGGTAAAATTCATTTATGATTTATAACTCTGAAGAGAATGTTACCTGATCATTTAAATATTTATCTGAAGCCAATAAGCAAAATAAACAAAATTTACATTTAATATTTCAAAGGTGTTTTAAGTCTACCATTGTGCCAGTGAACTCTTTAAAATGCCACAATCATCTATTTGCTCTTTATTATTTTTTTATTTCTTAAAGGATAATCATGGGAAGGGAAAAAGTTTCAAGTGGGTAACAGAAGTGATTATAAATTAATAGATATGATAAATTTAACCCCTGTATTCCAACAATTTATGGGCTTCCCACATTTACATAAATGTTATTTACAAAGTCTGTTAGGACTATCACCAGGGGCCCCAGGCACTTACGGTTAAAAATGGATGCCTGGTGTTCTTTAATACTCTGCTTTCAGTTAGAGTGTGTGCCACTTCATCCTAAAGAGAAAAAAGCAACCTATCAGTACATGCTGTAAGCATTTTCACCATTTTTCCGAATTTAGCAGCAGTTATACTCAGGTACAAAATACACTGGCATGCTTCCATTATTGCATACAGCCATTACCACCACACAAAGCAAAACAATATGTCAGAAGACCCAGACTCATATAACTCACCCATACTTGATCAAACTATATTAATAATTATGTAAAATAAACACCAAAAATATCATACACTGGGAAAATGAAATAGTACCATTTTCCTCTTAAGGAATGGCTTATCAGGTAGTATTTTAGCATATAGTAGTTAGTATTTCCATGCTTCCAGGGGATATATAGGATGTAATTCAGTAAAGAGCATACATCTTTTAAGTCTACTTAAAAGAAAAACCAGCTATTGAAAAAGGGACCACAGGTTATATACAGAAGACTTAATTCTAAAGTACATTTTATAAATAGTAACAGCTTCGAGGTTACTTAACTAGATTCCTTTACTCTGCTTAATAATTTTCTCCAGTTTGACCACAGGTCTACCTGGATGAATCTATCTATCAAAAGGTAACTGAAACCTGTATACATTATGTCTAAAAGCATTTGTTATCCTTCCTGTTCAGGATTGCTCTTGATTATTTGGGGTGTTTTATGCTTGATATGAATTTTAGAACAAAATTTTACATTTCTGCAAAAATAACATTTTTGACAAGGATTATATTAAATTTCTGGATTGCTTTCAGTACAATGGCTTATTTTTACAACATTAATTTCACAAATCCACAAACATAGGTATTTCCATTTTATAGTGTTTTCTACAGTTTCTTTCTTCAAGGTTTTATAGTTTTCACTGTAGAGCTCTTTCAGCTCCTTGGTTAAGGTGTTTTTTTTTTTTTTTCTCTAGGCAACTGTTAACAGAACTGTCTTCCTGATTTTTCTATCAGCCTCTCCATTATTGATGTATTAAAAAGCTATTAATTTTTGTATGTTAATCTTACAGTCTTCTATCTCGTCGAAGTGCTTATGATCATCTAGGAGGTTTTCTGGTGAAATCTTTAGGCTTGTAAGTAATGAATTATACTGTCTGCAAATAGAGATTACCTGAGTTCTTTCTTAAGACATTTGGACCCCTTTTGTTCCCTACTCTTGTTTCTCTGGCTAGGGAAGGTGTGGGGAAAGTAAACACCTCTGTCTCATTCTTGATTTGAGGGGAGCCAATGCTCAAGATTCTAGCATTTAAGGATTCTATGTTATTTTCAGAGAAGATAGAAACAAAATTTTCTTTTATCTTTGTAGGTTCCTTATTTTTTTTCTTGAAGTGATTTTTTAAAATTTAATTTTATTGTCAAGGTGACATACAGAGGGGTGTTCCCTATTTTAAAAAAAATTTACCAGCATACATTAAGTTCCTTCAACTCACACAAATTAGAGGTTAGACCAAAAAGCTCAAGAATGCTAACTAGAAGCAATGACTAGAATCTTGAGCCAGAAAATTTCCAGACACAAAAGTACAGAGAGGCAATTACTGGCTAGCTCCCAGGCATTAATTGAAACTTGTACAACTAAAGGATAAAACACAATCTTAAAACCTGAAGTACTTGCATGTCTTAAATAATGTCAAGGAAATGAGGTAAGAAGGAAAATGTATCCCCAAGAGTTCCATAATATAGAAATAGTTAACAAGAATGTTCTGCTGGAGAAATGCAAGGAGGTTCTCATCATGCTCAGGAGCAGATACTCCCTCTTTTAGTTCCTTCCATAATGAAACCAATGAGAAGCTGCCATAGACCATCATCACAATCTGTGTTCCTAGGAAGTACCCTCTGAGCTCTCAACTGACCAACCAGTAAGTGACTTTGTGTATGAAGAAACATCAATTCTATGATCTACAAAAGCATCTTTGGAAAGCTATCACACTGACTGATAATGTAAAACTCTGAAAAAGACAAGAACCAATCTGCCAAGAGGGTTCATTTCTGACTGAAGAAGTAAGCACAAGCCATTTCAAGATGCTCAACTGAATGTTGTTTCTTCACAGTGATAGGAGAACCGAATGACACCAAAGATAGAACATTTGGTTATACATTGATAAATGGGTGATCATTTCAGGTTGTATGGAAAGGCAGATGGGCAACGGAAAACTAGACAAAGAAAGAGTACCAAGGAGACACAGTGATATGGCCATCAGAATGGGAATTTTTAGGCCATTAAAATAGGACAAGTTGATGCTCATAAGAATAAAAAGACCAGTTAAAATAGAATGGCTACCTGGGTTCAAGACTGGGTGGAGGGAGCTGCAGCAATAGAGATGAAATGCCACTAACATACTCCTCTTGTGCTCTTGATATATGAAAGTGTCAATAAAACTGTCCCCTCTGTCAGCAAGAGCAAAGGGACTTCAAATAACTACAGAACATTTCCCAGGAGCAGACTCCCAAGCTCAACATAGCTGTCAAGAACACTACAAACTGGACTACTATCCATTATAAGGTATAAAGGGAAGAATGGACACTCTGGATTGAATTTTACATAACCTGGTAATAGATGCAAAAGCACAAAACAACTGCAACACTCAGGCACTGATGGCTCATGCTTGTAATCCTAGCTGAGGATCTAAATCTGAGGATTGCAATTCAAAGCTAGCCAGGGCAGGAAAGTCCATTAATACTCTTACCCTTAATTAGTGAGCAAAAAGTTAGAAGTGGATGTGTGGCTTAAGAGGTAGACTGCCAGCTTTGAGCAGAACGCAGAAAAAGCTAAGGGAGAGCACCGGGGTTCTGAACTCAAGTCTTAGGGACAGCAAGTACGTGCACGTGCACATGCATGTGCACACACGCGCGCGCGCACACACACACACGGATGCACGTGTGCATGCACAAATAAAAGATACTGTACTCGATCAATTACCAATCACATGTCATTAGACCAAAAAAATATACTTTAGAGACCACAGTATCCAAAGATGGTAAAGAGGTATCTCATCGAATGAACATATAATGTTTTCATGAGGAGGATAGATGGACAGAGATCTGGAATGGGAAATTGAAACATTTGTTGTCTAAAATAGGAGATAAAGATGAAAGGTGGCATAGAAGTCTTCACAAATATGGACCTAACTTTGTGAGGCCCCAGAAGGATTCCTGCTTGAATGACCCTTCTGCTTTCCTGGAGGCCATGACAAGTGGGGCAGGAGAGGATGTCAGGCCCCTTTTTTCACAACACCTCTACTGTCTTTTTCTCTGTCTGCTGCAGTGATCTTGAGACCACAGCTGTGACTGTGGATGCCAAGGAAGTGTGACCGTACTCTCAATCATTACCCTGGGCTAACGGGATGGGCTTGCCTTCACACTAGTTGGGACTGTGAGAAGGGGAAGGGATGGTACTGCCTAGGGGTCAGCGTGGTCTTACTCAGGAACTGGGCTGTGCCTTCTGAAGGTGAAAAGTCTTTACTGTAGGTATCTGTACATTCACTTCCTGGTGCCGATACAGCAAATTATTAGAAACTTGACAGGAAAAAAACAATTTATTCTCTCAAAGACCTGAAGACACATTCATACCGCAAACAAAACTTTGTCCCCAACTCTTGCAACCTATTACCTTTGCAATGATGACCTCTTTCTTCAGGATCTTCATAGCATAATATTTGCCACTTGCCTTCTCACGAACCAAAATTACTTTCCCAAAAGTGCCTTTACCTAGTAGTTTCAAATAGTCAAAATCATTCATTGTCTGAAAAATACAAATTAGAAAAGTCTGTTATAAATTATTTGACACAATTTATCATATATAATATAAATATATGTGTAACATCCACTCAAAAAAATATATATATTTTTTACCAATTTCTAAGTAACTGCAAATAAAAAGAATAAGACTGCTCCTGGCTGTCTCAGCAGCAGTCATGGATATTAAAAATAAATAGTTCTCAAATACTAGACAAAAGCATTGTGAACCTAGAATTTCTCAACATGCAAAATTTCCAGTAAGTGAAAAATTTCAAGGTCTCAAGTTTTCATGGATTTAGTGAACTTAAGAACATCCCCCCATCATTCCTAAACATGCCTAAGGGGATAGCACTTTTGAAGGAGATACCTGAGAGTAACTCCAACAAAATAAGGATGGCATCCAAGAAAAAAAATATTTTAACAAATATTGAGAACATCTGGAGCTCAGTGAAAAGAAATATAACAAAGATAGCAGTTGCAACTTCTGAGAAAACAACTAAATCCATGAAAACTTGAGTCCTTGATTTTTCACTTACTGAAAAAAATTTTTTTTATTGTAAAAATGCTATACAGAGGAGTTACAATTACATGGGCAAGATAACGAATACATTTTTTATCAAGCATTGTTACCTCTTCTTTGTTTCCCCTTCCTATCCCTTCCCATACTCTCCCCGCCTCCCCCCAACACGAAAGTTGTAAAGTTCGTTTTTCGACATAACGACTTGTACATCTCCTTGTTGCAATGGGTCCACCTGTATCCCTATTTAAACGATTTGTTTTTTCCCTTCACCTCCACAAATTATACCAACATCAAATACAGTGAAAGCAGGGGTTATACTGTGGGGGTAGGCACATACAAAGCAACATAGAAATCATCTTATAAATATGTTAGAAACAATTGCACGAAAGAGAAAAAAAACATTTGAATACTTGGGAGTTCATTCCCCTAACATCAACTTATCTGACCTTTTCTGCTTGACTCAGACATATACATTTGTAGAAAAAGGTTGGTATGGAAAGCAAGCATGCACACAGATGGAATAAGCTATAGAAAATAAGCTGCAGATATGCCTTGCAAAAATCTCAGACATCATCGACTCCAGCCAGTACTAACAGTAAAGGTGAAAAAGGCAGAAGTATTAGACGTTTCCCGGCGCGTCTGCCTACCCACGGCACCAAGCTGTTTTCTCTGCCCGCACCCTCGCTTCCCCTCCCAGTAGACTGGCCCCTGCTTTGAACATAAAGATTACAATCAAAGACACTTTGCTGGCTCCAGAACCAGCCTTTAAATCTGGCAGATTTTTAGGGATTCCAGAAAACTAAATAGGGTAGCTTTAAAAAAAAAATAGTATAGGTTTTTAAAAATGGTATAGCTTTTGAATGGGATAGTATTAAATTCAAAGGATTATATTTATTGGGATTTGATTTTAAATGTATCAATTTATAATAAAAATTTCAAGTTAATGATGTACATGTGCACCTATGTGCACAAACTGAAATTTCTTATCTCTAAGCAAGTAGGTAAAACTAGATTGTTTTTCTTTTTTTTATTTTATTGTCAAGGTGATGTACAGAGGGGTTGCAGTACATAAGGTAGTGAGTTCATTTTTTTGTCGAACCTGTTACTCTCCCTCATTTTTCTCCCTCTTTCCCTCCCCCATACCGTCCCATTGTGTTTTTCTTTTTGAATAAGGAACCAGTTAAGTTAAACCGACACTCAGTTTAAACAAGGCTAAGCCTATAAAAGAGAAAATGTGTGCACATATCTTGCCAAAACCAAACATCAAATATAATTTTAATTAAAACAAAAATTTGGCATGAGAGAAGTCTATGAAGTCAGTCTATAAAGCTGTAACTATCATTTTACTAAGTTCACATGTTTAACATGTGGAAAAGGAAGGATTTCAACGCAGGCAGTCTAGCTCCAAAGAGCTCTGAATCAATGCATTAATGGCAAATTTTGGGCTGAAGATACACTTTGTGCATATTTGTGCAGCGTGCACAAGGCCCTGGGTTCTATCCCTACCTCTTTTCCTACAAAAGACTAAGAAAACAAATAAAACAAATTTCACATATAACACTGAATATTTTTGTTTCCTCATTTGAAGACTCATTTACAACCTATTATATATGGCATATACACTAAACTCTATGTAGGTAAATGACATGTTGTTCTCTTTCAATCTTTAGAGTTAAGATACTTTTTAAAGAATTAAGGATGCTTCTTTCACATTTTTTTTGTAGCAGCAAAAAGAATTTATAATTCCCATGGAAACATCAAGGGTCTAGAGTGTCAAGAAGAGGAGAGGCTTGTTTTCTCTCGTTGGCTCAGGAGCAGCCCCCATTTGGAAGGTCACACTTCCTGGAACTGGTGTAGGGGGGGGCAGGGGAGGAGTCTAGGGTGGGGGGGTGGCCAACACACCAGAGCCTTTTCTATGTGGGCTTTCAGCGGAACACAGGATGCCAAATGCAAAAGGCGCAAAGCACTCAGGGAAAACATTTGATTTCCAAGTTTATAAAAATGAAAACAAGGGAAGTGCAACTGATAAAATTGTTTGGGGGCACCGCACCGCTGAAGTGCTGATCACATTTGGTTTTAAATGATAGGTATTTTAGGTTAGTGTGGACAAAATAACTCCACACATACACATCCTAAGAAAACTGGTAGACCACCCTCTCAAAGAGCATTTATTTGTTCTCTAGTTTGTTCTAGTTTCCATTTCCTAGAGTTCAAATAGCAGTTTACTACCTGTTTTACCCAGACAACTGTGTTCAGAGCATTAAGATGCCACTGTCTTCTACCTTTCTTTTGTGGTGGGTTGTAGAAGCATCCATCTCTTCCTCTCCTATATTGTCAATCTGGGAAGTTGGACTACAATTCATTCTCTCCTCTTCTTGCCTCTGTAGTCTGTCTGCCACAGCCTGGATAGCTTCTGTCCATTCTTCCCTACAGAAAGGAATGAGTGAAATTCCTCATTAACCGAAGATGATGAATGATGCTAATATTTTTTAAGGATACTGTCCCTAGTGCCCGCATGAAACTTTTATTTTTTGCCACCATTAAGTCTTTTAATGAATACAGAAAAGCATACACCAATGTAAAAAATAAATATACTATCTTTCATTTTTAAAGTACTTTTTTCTTCTAGTCATAAAAATAAATAAAAACTTATGTAGAGGAATAGTATAATACTGTAAGAGCAGCAAATGACTTCAGTGCTTAAGCTCTAGCTCAAGTCTATCTTTATAAACATAAAGGGCAAAGAAAATCAAGCTTGAAAAAGGTACTATCAACATACTATAAATAGTACTTTCAAAGAATGTATGTTTCATGGGAGTGTTCCATTCACTCAACCAGTCATCGATTACTTCTGTGGTCAGATATTGGACTATGTGCTTAAGATAAAGAAAAAAAAAACAGGAAGGAAGAAATAATGCTTACTGTCAAGAAACTTACAGAATACTTCTAGAATGAAGTACAAATGCAGCGGAATGCTGGTGGCTCATGCCTGTAATGCTAGCTACTCAGGAGGCTGAGACTTGAGGATTATGGTTCAAAGCCAAATAAGGCAGAAAAGCCTGTGAGACTGTTATCTCTAATTAACCAGCACAAAATTGGAAGTAGGATGTGGCTCAAGTGATAGAGCACCAGCCTTGAGTGAAAAAGTGCTGAGACCCTGAGTTCAAGTCCTAAGACTAGTATGTATGCTCACAACCACACAAAAGGAAGTACAAATGCCGATAAAAACATGAAGTATGCTTAATATTCCTGGCCATAAAGGAAATGTAAATCAAAATGACATTGAGATTTCATATCACTCCAGTCAGAATGGTCATCATTAAGAACATAAATAATCACAAAATGCTGATGAAAATGTGGGGGAAGGCCATATAAGATGATACTAAGTGAAATGAACTCCAAGATAGGGACACAAGAGGTTTTCTCTTTGTCACTGTTGTTTTTATTGTATTATGTGATTCTTTTGTATGTTCTTCCCCCATGGTATAACCCTTGTTGTCACTGTATTTGATTCCAGTGCAAAAACAATGAGGGGCAACACTGCTCGATAGGAAATGTACTCATTACCTTATTCATGTAACTATAACCCCTCTGTACAGTATCTTTACAATAAAAATTATATATTAAAAAAAAGAAAATGTGGGGGAAAAGGAATTCTAACCACTTACATTGTTGGTAGGAATGCAAACTAGTGCAATCAACATGGAAATTATTATGGAGGTCCTTTAAATAATTAAAAGCAAAAGTACTCTAAGATCCAGCAATACCATGTTTGTCATTTATCCAAAGGAACGTGAGTGAGGAATAATAGACACCTGCACAGCCAGGTTCATCACAGCAGCCAAGGTTCATTCACAATAGCCAAGCTATGGAAATAACCCTATAACTGATGAATGCATCAGGACAATACAATATATCTATACAATGACTACTATTCAGCCACAAAAAGATGAAATTATATCATTTGTAGGCAAATAAATGGATCTGAAACCTCAGACTAAGTAAGCCAGGTTCAGAAGGACAAAAGTCATCTTTTCATTCATACTTGGATGCTAGATCTAAAAGATAAACACATGTAAACACATGCAGGAATATATGTAATTTGATTAAAGTACACATATGTGTGAGATACCATGGTAAAGTTCTTTTGAGCAATCTGTATGCATATTAACAAAAATGAGTATTGTGAAGTTGAAACGGGTCTGATTTAGGATGTGGTTACTAGTAGGAGTAGGTGAGATTATGGAACATGAAGTCCGCTGAGGCCAGGAAGGGGGAAAGGGAGGGAGGAAGGAGGTGACTCAGCAGGAGCTGAGCATCTATAGCTGGTAAATTTTAAAAAGAAAGGCAAGGGAAAGAAAGGCAAGGCGAGAAAGGAAGGGACAGGGAAAGGGCGGGAAGGAGGGGGGGAGAAAGGAAGGGAGGTTACTTACTAAGACCAAGAACAGTCATGACATGCTCGGTATGAAAGACAAGAGAGATACATATGAATTAGTACAGACAGGGAACCTACTTATCTAGTCTACAAAAGTCAGGTTTTGTGGAAAAATTGTTATGTTAAGATCTGAGAGACTGATAGGAATTAACTCAAACATGATTATTGAGCTTGTTACATGAAAACGTGCAGTGCAGATGAAGGGTGGGAAGTAGAGCAGGAGTCAGGCAGGGGTGTGGACGACACACTACAGGTTATGAATACTGGAAGCATAGAAAATAAGATTATCATGCTAAATTCTGGTTATAGAATTACAATTATGAGTATTTTCTATATCTTTTCTATTTTTCTTTCCTGTATTTTCTAAGGTAATTAAGCATTATAATTGTTATCAAAATAATGTTTTAGAAGGAAAAAAATAACTTCGGGTAGGTCTAGAATTTTAACTCAATGGTAGAACATTTGCCTCCCATTTACAAAATCCTATGCTCCATTCTTAGCTCTGTAAAAAAGGTAAATAAATAAATGTTGTCTTTTAAGATTTTTAGATGTTTTTGGTTTAATTAAGATCTTAGAAGACTACTATAAGAAAAGTTTAATTTACTCATTTGAAAATGAGGCATTTAACTTCAACAACTAAGATCCTATATGATAACATACGTCTGGGAAAATCATTTTGTGTTTGCAGTCCCCAGACCTAAAGTATGAATTCACCAGATAAAAGACTAGAAAGCCAGAACGAGAGGGAGGGAAGGTGTTCGCCAAGTCTGAGTGTAGATCAAGAGGATGGAAGAAGACCATACAAGAGCCAGTGAGCTGGCTGTAATGTGCTGCAGTTTCTCTCTTCCACAATGGGGAGCAGTCAGTCATGCTAATCATCCTAATGTTCCCCTTACGTGGAGTTAGAACCAGTGGCAGAAGGCCTGTCAACTCCAAGCAGGCACTTGCAATTAATATAAAAGGGAACACTACTAGAAACCTTGACTATCCTATTTTCCTCAGAACTTAAAATAAGAATACAATCAAGTCTATGATTTAAGAAAAAGGTAGTTTGGAAAATGTTCTACTTTCTCTGAAGAATTGTAACTTACATTATGCTTAGCAGTCCTGGTTTAGTATTTTGCCAGCTCCAGTTCGTTTTTTGTTGTTGTTTGTTTTTTAGTCAGTCGTGGGGTTTGAACTCTGGGTCAGGGTGCTGCCCCTCAGCTCTTCAGCTCAAGGCTAGCACTCTACCACCTGAGCCACAGCACCACTTCTGGTTTTCTGGTGGTTTATTGGAGATAAGAGTCTCATGGACATTCCTGCTTAGGCTGGCTTTGAACTTCGACCCTTAGATCTTAGCCTCCAGAGCAGCTAGGATGACAGGCGTGAGCCACTAGCGCCCAGCTCCAGTTATTTTTGTATGATACAAGAAACGACACATCTTTAGATTGCTGCTTTTTCACAAAATGGATAAGACAAGTCTCTTACCTTTCCTCTGGAGTATCAACATGGAATGTTCTCTCTATAACTGTGGTCCACTGTAGACATCTGATTATAAATGTATTTGGCTTTGGTCTTTCTGTTTTCATTAACTGGCATTCTAGAAATAAAACAGAATCTCTTTAAACATGCAAGTACTTAAAAGCCATGAAATAACTGGTGATAACTGAGAGCTACTCCACACAAAACTTGGTGCAACCTCATAGCTTTCTATAATGTCTTAGCATTCTCTTCCCTTCCATTTTAACTATTTCTCCAAACAGACTTTGTTTTTCCTTATATTTAACATTAGCTGTTACTGCTAGCCATGTGCAGTGCCTCTCATTTATTGTACTCCCACCCACATACCATCTCCATCTGTCCAGGTAATCTTCTGAAGTCCAGATCAAGTCTCATTCCTTCCATGAAGTATTTTTATAAACCTAGGTCCGAAGCTGTTTCTTCTCTATTCTCATTGTTACTTATCCCTTGTTATGCACTTAGCACAGTATTATGGTACACTTAATCATTTTAAGAAGATATCCATTTATCTCTATCTTGTGTGTGTATGTGCGCGCGCAGACACACATGCAAGTGACAGTCCTAGGGCTTGAACTCAGGCCTTAGGCACTGTTCTTTAACATTTTTGTCCAAGGATAGCACTCTACCACTTAAGCCACAGTGCTACAGAATTTTTCTTCCCTAGGCTGTATTGAAGCGCATCTCCTGAGTAGCTAGGATTAGTCATGAGTCATTGGTACTTGGCAATTTCTACCTTTTGATATATTAAATTGCCTATAAATCTTAGTATTCATAGTTATTACAAGAATTCTGTCAGTGAATATATAAGACTTCAAAGTTAGTAAAAGTATGCACTCGATGAAACTAATGTACTAGGATTTGATTTTTTTCTAATTATACAATCTTGGATAATGTCATCTCTCAAGCCTTCAGAAGTTGAGAGAGGAAAAATTATTCGTTTGTGGTTTAATAATAAAAACTATGAGTATGGAGTTAATAAATTCAATAATAATAAGTCTGAATAAAGACTATTATTACTGGATGCACACCTGCCTATACTTTAAAATAAAATGTAAATGGTCAATTTCAAGAGAAAGGGCAGAGCTGTCTATAAATACTACACTTCTGAAAGAAACTTCTTTACCCGTAGTCCACAAGTTCAACACTGCTCACGTCTTGTCCTTTCTTCATCAACAACAACCATCATCTACTGCTTTACATCTTCAAGGTTCAAGACACAATTAACATTAGCTAATCCTCTGTGGACACCACATTGAAAGAGATAATTCACCCAAGCTTCTCTGTTTAGTTTTCTCTTTCCTAACAGTCTTTCATGATTTTAGCCAACATCTTTTAAGTTCTCTAATATAAAAATCCAGGTATCTTTCCATTTTGGGTCTCTATTTTAAGGCATGTGTCAGGAGTGGGGTGTGTATCTTCAGAGCAGTGCATGCTTCGCATGCATGTGTTAGGGCTAAGGTTCAATCCAGAGCCTTGAAAGGGGCACATAAAGAGCATCACTTCTACCTTGAACTACTGGGACCATATTTCAACTAAACATGGGATCCTTTAGCTCCACTCCCCTTCTAGGCTTCCATATTTCATATTTCCTATCATCTACACTCAGCCAGGAAGTGGTCTTCCTCTGTGATATTGGAAGTATTTACTCTTACCTGGGTTTTGCACTCATGCAATTCTACTTCAAATTCTTACTACCCAATATCGAAAGCCAGAATCTTCTTACTCCAAAGTGTTGAGAGGTCATGTAAGTTAAGGGCAAGTGTTCTGAGATATCTGCATACATTTAACAGTGAACTGGGAATTCTCCTGCTTCTGTTCCTTCTGCTGACCTGTATCCAGGTTTTCTTCATTTCAGGTAAAGGCACTGCAACTTTCAATTGTTCAAGCCAAAAATTCTGGAATCACCTGAGGTCTACTTTTCACTTCACATGAACTCACTGCTTCTGAATATCCAGTTTCAGATTACTTCTCACCCCTTCTATACCTCAGATAATCACAACAGTTCTCTGCTGACCCACAGTAAGTCATTCTCAATACAACAGCCAGAAATCTTCTGACAATGCACATCATGCCCCCCAAATATGCTGTGTTTTGATTCAGTAAATATTTAGAAGACGAGGCCTGAAATGACTGATAGGGTCCTATCTCATTTCACCTCGCCTGTGCTGGAGTTTCTCCTTTGCCTCCGGGATTCTCACACGGCCCCATAAGACACCTTATATTTCTCTAACACACTGCTTTCTCTCTGCACAGTGCCTTTTGTTAAGTTATGCCTTCTGCCTGGCAACCTTCTCTCTCATGTATCTTTGGCCCACTCTCTCCTTAAGTCTCAGATTAAATCTAATCTTCATATTGAAACCTACAGTGGCAATCAATTTATAATCCTCTTACTCAGGACTCCACAACTTCCTTCATCAGTTCCACTTTCTATTTTGTAACATTTACATTATCTGTAAAATATGACTGCTTACATGGTATACTTCTCACTTATTATCTATCTTCTTAACTGGAACATAGGCTACCCTGGCATATTCTTTTGTTTAGATTTTGTTTCCTGTGATAGTGCCTCACTAACTTTCACCAGGCTGACCTTGAACTCATGATACTTCTGGTCCCATTTCCTAAGTAGCTGGTATTACAGGTATCTGCCTGACACATGGCAAACACTCAGTAAATATTTTCCAAACAGATAAATCCAGAGTAAAAATTCCTAATAAAGATAATTTCAATGAGATGTAAAGGAATTTCTGAAGCAAATTTCTTTTTTTTTCTTAACTTTTTTTTTTGTTGTGAAAATACTGTACAGAGGGGTTACAATTACATGGGCAAGATAATGAGTACATTTCTTATCAAGCATTGTAGCTTCCTCCTTTGTTTCCTCTTCCCATCCTCCCCCCCCCCCCCCACCCAACCCACCCAATCCTCCCCGCGGCACCCCCTCTCCCCCCGCACCAAAGTTGTAAAGTTTGCTGAAGCCAATTTCTTAAGTAGAGAAGAAAGGATGTGAAAAAAGTAGCTATAATCAAGAGTATATATTCACTACCGTTCATATGTAATTATAACCCGTCTATATCACCTTGACAATAAAATTAAAATTTTAAAAAAGAGTATATAGACAGCTCAGTGCTAGAGCAGGCAGGAAGAGGATAGAAGGGCAAATGCAGTTAAGACACAGATGCAAGGGGGAGTTGGTAGACCTAATTTTCTCACTGCTTCTTTTGTTTCAGTGAGATAGGATGTAAAGACTTCAGTTAAGAATACAGTAGAGCTGGGCACCAGCGGCTCACACCTGTCATCCTACCTACTCAGGAGGCTGAGAGGTGAGGACTATGGTTCGAAGCCAGGCTGGGCAGTAAAGTCCCTGCGAGACTCTTATCTCCAAGTAGTCATTCAAAAACTGAAGTGGCACTGTGGCTCAAGGGGTAAGAGAGCTAGCCCTCAGCACAAAGAGGCTCAGAGACAGCACCCAGGCTGAATTCAAGCCCCACAACTAACAAAAGAAAAAAGAAAGAATATGGTACAAAGAAGATGCACTGGGTCTTTGCAGATGAAACATAAGAAAGCATGCTCCATGAAAATGGAAGAGCAGACAGGGAAACATACTGGGACTGTTGATAGTATTAAGGCCCTCTTGAATTTAATGACCAAGAACTGAAGTAAACACCAGAAGTAAGAGTTTCATAGATGCAGAGCAGGGAACACAGAGGTGGGATTGAAGCCAGGCAGTATTTTAAGTCTGTCGAGCCAGAAGCAGTAGAAAGAGGAGAGGATCCGAGGCACAGAGGTGACTAGGACAGTCAAGCACTCTAAAATGTGCATCGAGGGAAGGCAGAACCTAATGGTCAGATAATGAAAACACAAACTTGATAGATCATAAAGTTTATTATATTTAAACTTTGTAGACAATGTTACCTACTTTTGAATTAACAAAGTTAAAAATACTAACTATAGTATTCTAGTGTATAATGCTTAAATATGAAAACTTTAAGATACCAGAGATATTATACTAATTTATGCCAATCAAGAATCACTTCATTTACCACATCTTAATTTCCCTAGCAGTTTTATTTTCTTAGAACTCTATTATTTCCTCCCATCTCTCTCTTTCCAAACAAATTCCTATTAGATGTCCTGCAGATTGAGGATTTACCTCAGTGGAAGGGCATTTGCTTGGCAAGTGCAAAGCCCCAAGTTTGATCCTTAGCTCTGGAAAAAAAACAAAACAGCTATATAGGACCAAAAAAAAAAAAACCCAAACAAACAAACAAAAAACCCCAAGGCAACCAGTTCACTCCTCTGCCCTATGTGTTTGAGCTCCTAGTTAATCACTTCAAAGTGATGTGACACCACATCAGGGACATAGCAAATAATGACTGATCACTGACTGACCAGATTCTAATAAAAACAACCAGAGAGACACATCCAAGAGAGAGAGAGGACAGTCTGATAGAGATACTTCAGGAGGCGTGAGCAGTGAAGAGCACTAGGGAGAAGAAAAAAGAAGGGTATTCAATCTATCTGGGCTTTACTTAAGATTCCCTTATGATGAGATGGAGGCAATTAAGGTAAGAGACTTCGAAATTAGAATATCAGACTCAGATCTAAGCTCTATGCATACCATTAGCTATGCAGTCCAGCCCCCAGATTTCTCATCTTTAAAAGCATTATAAGAAATAAAAGTAAGATTTCAAAGGATATATATTTTCAACACCACACCTAAACGAAGTTAGAATAGTATGATTTACAGAATTTCTTAGGGTTGGAGGTATGGCTCGTGTGGTAGAGTGAAAGAGTGAGATATGTTCAAGTCCTGGTCTTGAACAAAAAAAAAGAAAAAAAACTTAAACCTAGAATTTTAAAAGCTATTTAAAATATTATATTGCCAGATTCCACGTGGTTGTAAGTTATGGTAATTTTCAAAGCTGGAACAGATGACAATAAAAATGATTAGTTTGTCATTCTGTTTGTCTGTTTGAGAGTCCTAGGGCTTAACCTCAGAGCCTGAGCAGTGCCCTGAGTACTTTTCTTTGCTCAAAGTAGCACTCTACCACTTGAGGCATAGCTCTCCTTCTGGCTTTT